TAGCCGCGCGGCACGGGGTTCGAACAAGCCGGCTTTTAAAAATGGCTGCACCGGCTTTATGCTAATGAAGCACGGGAAATTCAAATCCCGGGCTTCATTAGCAAGTTCGGTATGCATACATTACCCCGCTAGTTCGAACTAGCGGGGTAGTGTAGACATACCCTCTGTCCTTTATTCTCAAGCTGAGGTGTCTGCTGAGAAAAGCCGCTCCGCGTCTCCCTGGTCTGCTGGGAGAGGCACTAGCTTCGCATCTCCCTGGTCTGCTGGAGGGAAGCAGCTAGTGCGGGGTTGCCTCACCCCGTTTGTAAGTAGGGATCCGATGTAAGTCGGATCCATGTAACCCGGGGACTGCCTGTACTTCAAACTCGTCTTTAAATTGTTGTTCAAGAGCTCTCTTTGCTGTGTTACCAGTTCTGCCGTATCTGCATGATTTGGATTTTGTGGCTGCTGAATTCTGAATGAGCTCCATCCAGGCTTCCTAATTTGAAATGTTATAGGAACTGCAGCCTCACTCCTCCCAAAGTGTTTTGTGATGAGCAGGGACAGCTTAATACAATCACACTCAAAACGACTGGCAAATGTAGCAAAATATTGCCATTAAGGAGCACGTTGTGTGGTAATCTCACTCCGCCGACTTATCCCCACTATCATGTGTGATACAGTCATTTAGAAGATGTAAAGATATAGGATAAAATCCTGACTCCACTGGAGCATGTAGTAAACTTCCACTGGTTTCACAGAGCCAGGATTTCACCCAAAATGAATGAATTCGTAAATGCTAGACGCAAACGACATCAAATGAGATTTTTTTAAAGGAACCTTTCAGTCCTGCTTAGGGCCTGATTTTATTGTCCCTTGTGCATGTATAAGGGTGGAGAGAATGCAAGGAACTCCTTCCTTTATGTAGCCCCCATGCAGAGGTTTGCCATAGTTACAGTCTTCCCTGAGCATAAGGACTGTTCCTGACTGCCAAGCCTATTTCTAGGGCAGGGCATGAGACACGGATATTGCCCTCTTTACGAGCTGTGAGCCTGGACTCTCTGAAAACTCCAGAAGACACTGCAATGTATGTGGTGAGGAGGAGTGACTCAGCACCAGCTACATCTCAGGCTGCTGCTTCATGCCACAGTTTAGCTGTCAGTGGGTATGTGTACACTGCACTTAGCCACCTGTGGCTGGCCGGTGCCAGCTGACTCAGGCTTGCAGGGCTTGGGCTAATAGATTGTTTAATGGCAATGTAGAGGTTAGGGCTTGGGTTGCAGCCCAAGCTCTGAGACCCACTCCGTGCTGGGGCTGCATGTCTACGCAGCAATTAAACAGTCCCTTACCCAAGCTCCAAGACCCCTGTCAGATGACTTGGGCCAACCATGGGTATGTCAATATCCAGTGTTAGCTAAGTCACGCACCCACTTCTTAAGTGATACTGATTTGCATTAAGGGTTGTGCATGGGTAAACATCTAGTGGTTGGTTAATTATCATTGGAATTACACATGTTCAGTTGTGCATTCCACAGGGTGCACAGAGTGAGGGGTGAATGGCACCAACATACTCCATGGCTCTGCTTATAATTGGAATATCAGGGTGCCTATCCCCAACAACATGACAACCTCCATCTTTTCCCGGTTTCCTCTAACAGCATTAGACTTTAAGACAACACGGGGATTGGTTGAAATCAGAGTACTTCATTTATTGTTATAAGTGTGGTCCAATTTGTGTAGCTATTCTAGTTGTAATGTCGATTTGCCATGAAAAGTGACTTTTTAAAAAACCTGGTATTTTTCTCCTTCCCAAGATCTGTATTACTTCCTGCTAGCCCCCACGCTTTGCTACCAGCTAAATTTCCCAAGACAAAAGCATTGCCGGCAAGGCTATATCATTAGAAGATTCATTGAAATGGTAAGAACAAGACATTGCATTTGAAATTGTCCGCTTCTCTGCACCCGCTGTCACAGTGAATATATCAGACCTTGAAGTTTCACATTGCGTATGTTCACTTGGAGGCTGAATGTGACAGTTCTGAGCCAGACAGGATTTTCCCATATTGTACATACAGAGGTGAGCTGTTTCTGCTGTTGAAGATATTCTTATGTCCCTCAGTCTCTGGAGGTCTAAAAGAATGTACTCAAAATCCTTCCAGCTCTCGGTCTACCAATTCCATTCCAAATGCCATTCCAAATGCATCCTAAAATGCCACAGCCAGCAGTACTATCTGCAGCCTCTTTAAGTTTCATTGAGGAAAATGGAGTTGCATAGTGTTGTGAAATGTCATCAAATTAACATAAATTTCAGATTTTTTTTATTGACATTTCTGCAAAAATTTTCATTTTTTCCCAAATCCATTTCTAAACCCTGCCCCATTTTTAGAACACTCAAATGGGAAACGGGGATTGACTCAAATGGGAAACGGCAAAAATACGTTGCCTTTATAGGGGAGCTCTCTTGATGCCCCAGGCTGCCACTTAGGGTGCGTCTACACAGCAACGTTATTTCGGACGTGATTCCAAAATAGTGAGTGTGAGTGTCTGTCCGCGGCTTATTCCAGATGCTGTAAACCTCATTCCATGAGGAATAACACCTCTTCCAAATTAGCTATTTTGGAATAGCAGTAGTGTGGATGCTTCACTGCTGCTATTTTGGAATAGCTCCTCCCCAGGGCCATTCAAAGTAATCATTCCCCGGTGCTTTCTGGGGCTCTAAATTGAGGTAGTGCATCCACATTAGGGGGGCCTGCCTCGGACTAATTTCAAGGCTTCCTTGTAGTGTAGACGTGCTATTTTGAAATAAGCTATTTTGGAGTATTTCTTCCAGCTTATTCTGAAATAAGCGTGCAGTGTAGACATAGCCTTAAAGCCCTGAGTCATAACAAGTCATATGCTAAAGGGTCCTTTCGCAGCCTGTAAAGTGTGGGCCAGTGGGATCACTGAAATTGATGTGAGGCCTTTGGAACTCTCCTGTCTCCAACCAACATAAAAGGCAAAGGATCAAACTAAGCGTCCATAGATGGACCCCCCATATAGCAGCTCAGTGCATTGCTACCATCCGCCAGATCAGCTGATCTTTGGTTAGTTAATGTAGGAAATACACACAATTAAAATTGCACTGCAGATGCCATAAGATTCAGGGGATGGGGAAAGTCCTTGTATTTTGAAGATGTAGCTGTATGACATTGTGTATTTGAATAATATGCTGGGAAGCATGCCATTCCCTAGATCTTCACCCGAAGATGCAGCACAAGATGTGTGCGTGGCAATTGAACTTGAAGATGAAGGGGTGGTTATGGCATTGAAATACAAGAGAGACTGGAGATTTTGCAGTGGTGTCCCAGAATGTAGTCGACTCAGCCGAAGGGAATTCATTCTCCAAAATCTTCTCTTGCTGTTTTCTTTGCAGATTTTTCTCTTTCATCTCATGCTGGGGCTAATACAGCAGGTATGTTTTTGTCCAAGGTTAAACCCCAGGGATTCAGCTACTGTGCACAGTGAGGCCTCTGTGAACCACATATTGCCATTTAATGCTAAAAGCTATTTAGGTTTTGACCTTTACCACTTCATTTTCTTTGTCAGAATAAGCCCTCCCCCCATCTACCTTAACACACAATTTGGAAATAGATCAGTCATTTAAATTGTTGTATCTAGCTGCTTGCACTGAGACTATATCTACACAAAAGTGCGTGTCCTAGCCTGGTTGCAGTGCACACTGACAGACTATTTCTGCTGCTATAGACACACCATGTCCCTGATCAGTGTTAGCTGTGCCAACACAAACACTTCTATTAGCATGACTGTGTCTCCACTGTGGTTTTGCCATTATCCCTGTCTGACATAGCTATGCCAGGACAAGTTCTAAAGCTCAGCCAAAGTTACTGCCTCAGTGAACTAACATGAGCCCACAGTGCAGATATAACACAGTGAAGAACTGAAATGTCTGGAACTGGGATGGGTGCAGGGAAAGGTCTCCACTCTGAGTTACCATCTGCTGTCTTGCTCCTCTACAACTGTCCATGCCTCAGTGTAAGTTCTGGGAATCCACAGGT